AAATGAATGCAATCTTATGGACAGACGTGTGAAGAGACCGAAGAAGTGATTGGTTTTTGAAATTGTGTTATAAATACTTAATATTTTTGTTTATTATTATTAAATGGTTTTGTATTATAAATTAGTATTAGACAACTTATTTTAATAATCAGAGAAATGTATGTAAAGTATTAGAAATCATTGAAAATAGTATTTGACTTAAAAGGGGGCGCCGGGAGATCGCCACACCCGGGTCTCCTCATTTATTCATGGTTTATTAAATGTCTTATAAATTGTGTTTTATTTTATAAATAATTTTTGTTGTGATAAACAGTTTGAGTAAAATTTTAGATATTTTTCAATAACTTATTTTAATTACCAGAGAATTGGCTTAAAAAAGGGGGCGCCGGGGGATCGCCACCACACCCCGGGTCTCCTCATTACATGTCAGACCGTCTTAATAAGAGTTTGAATAAAAGTATTGACAATAGGTTTTGTATACGTTTTGTATTGTGAGCATGGTACATACGGTACAGTACAGGTCAAAGTCGGGATCCCTTTCCCCTCCCAATCCCTTAATTTTAAATGTAAATAATCTTGTTCAAATTTGGTGCTCTATTCAATGCACAAATTAGATTTACTCGATGACTTCTAATAGAGTTACAATAAAACACCTTAAATGAATGCAATCTTATGGACAGACGTGTGAAGAGACCGAAGAAGTGATTGGTTTTTGAAATTGTGTTATAAATACTTAATATTTTTGTTTATTATTATTAAATGGTTTTGTATTATAAATTAGTAATAGACAACTTATTTTAATTATCAGAGAAGTGTATGTAAAGTATTAGAAATCATTGAAAATAGTATTTGACTTAAAAGGGGGCGCCGGGGGATCGCCACACCCCGGGTCTCCTCATTTATTCATGGTTTATTAAATGTCTTATAAATTGTGTTTTATTTTATAAATAATTTTTGTTGTGATAAACAGTTTGAATAAAATTTGAGATCTTTTTCAATAACTTATTTTAATTACCAGAGAATTGGCTTAAAAAAGGGGGCACCGGGGGATCGCCACCACACCCCGGGTCTCCTCATTACATGTCAGGCCGTCTTAATAAGAGTTTGAATAAAAGTATTGACAATAGGTTTTGTATACGTTTTGTATTGTGAGCATGGTACATACGGTACAGTACAGGTCAAAGCGGGATCCCTTTCCCCTCCCAATCCCTTAATTTTAAATGTAAATAATCTTGTTCAAATTTGGTGCTCTATTCAATGCACAAATTAGATTTACTCGATGACTTCTAATAGAGTTACAATAAAACACCTACCATTCCTCCCGGTGCCGTCATGAAAAAATTTACTAAATTAGGTATTGACAGAGATTTAAATTATCTACATTTTCCATATCATAACATTCCAGAATTCCTACTCTTGTAGATTCTATAAATTGTTAAAAGTCAGAATTTTAGACATACTGGGCCTCCCGGGCCACTAAATATAGATATTTGGATAAAATAATTTTTGATGTATTTCCTACTTTTTTATGCTCTTTCAAATGAGCTATCGATTGTGGAGATGTGCATTGTAGTTTGTAAGATATAGTATATTTTAGAAAAACTACATGTGCTGAGCTACCGGTGCTCGAATCATGTTGTTTCATCGCTAGATTAAGCGCTATAATTTTGAGTCAAAGTATTTCTATAAATAAAGTTTAGGGTTATGTTGAGATAAGTTGTAATATAAAGGGAGAGAGAGAGGGAGTGAGAGAGAGAGAGAGAGATTACGTAATTATAGACATTACGTAACAGACAGCATATGCGCATTCACATTTCGCAATGGCCTTGAACAAATGTCAGTGGATGAAAATATTGTGAAGCATTCAATAATCAAAAACTATATCCTAAGTCAAGTGAAGTGAAGTAGGCTTTCCAACTCAATAACAAAATTATAAATTTTGGATTTAATTAATTAATTAATATAACACGGTAAGATATTTATATAATTTTACAATTAAAATATTAACTTTAAATGAACATGCTAAATTTATTTTTTGAATATTTTTGAGGCAACGCCTATGCCTATTTTTAGCACACATTATTATGTATATATTAATTTAATATTTTAACTATTACAATTATCATAAATATAAATTGAACTAAATTCACTGATTAATATCATTTTGTGTGTAATTTTCTAAATAGTATAATTAATAATATAATAAAATTAATAATTAAATTTATCAATTCTTTATAACTGAGCCGGCTGAGTCAAATATAGAATATATGTATTTATTTATACCAGTACCAAAAACATGGATAAAGTACAACTAAAAGACCTGGATATTAGTCTGGTGGAAAACAAACGGAACTACATATCGGGCGACACAGTGTATGGTACGGTGAGCTTCACAGTGACCGGGGGGCAAATGGAGGTGTCCCGGGTGAGAATCGCGCTAATATGCCAGACTAAAACGAGCTGGGCCGAAAGTCCAGGCCTACGTCTCCACAGGGAAGGCAATACTTTTAGCGACCGAAAGACATACATTCACTTTGTCTATAAAATTCCCGATCAATGTATGTGTTAGGGGTGGGCGTGGGGGTGAGTATAGTATGACCCTGATCTCTCATAATACATCATGCACATTGTTTCATTGTAGTGGCGTTAAAACACCTTGAACCTGGCAAGCACCAAATACCCTTTAATTTTGAGCTGCCTGTTGAGTTAGTATAAAAATTTATATAATAATAATAAAATTCGATACTGTAATTGATACACACCGTGTATAACTGACCAGGAACATTCCATCATCGTACGAGAGTGACCACGGATTGATTGAATACTATCTGGAAGTAACCGTCGATGAGACCACTGTGGACGAGGTGCAGATGGTCAAGACAGGGATCACAGTACAGGCTCCCGTGCGACACAATTTGCACGTATGTCCCGATTGAGCATGGTGATTTTATTTATTATTTTTTGTTACTAAATATTACGTTCAAAATATAACTGTTCATTAGGTGTCGGTCGGTGGGACCGTGGAAAAGGTGTTCACGTTTCCCAGCGTTGGAACTGGATCAGTAATATATTTACTAAATCTATCATATTTAGCTTCTATTATTTAAGTTAAATTGGTCCCGATCACAGATCAACATGCACGCTAGCGTTGCGAAAAAAGGGTTTGAATCAGGTATGTTTATCATACATTATGTTTATGTTATTCTTACTTTAGATGGAATGCAATATAACATTTAAAAAATGTCTCACTAAATGAACTAGGACACCCGATAGAAGTGGACTGCTTCATATGGAACGAGTCGACTCTGGACGTGACACCCCGGCTCACTCTATACCAGACCCGGGTCTATATGTGTGGCGAACGGCATCGGGGAGTGGTTGTGGCCCTTACGGACGCCCTCGTGGGTCAGGTGGTTAAGAGTGGTGCCAAGGGTATGGAGTCATTTTCACTGGTCATTCCCGACGGCCTGCCCCTGTCGTTCAAAGGTGGCTTGATTACAGTGAAATACTTTGCGCATTTGACCCTGGACATACCATACGCCATTGATCTGCACGTAAACTTGCCGATTGTTATCACCACAAAAGGGGCGCTCGAAGTTATTTGAACTTGTTAAATTTGTTAAATTGTATGTATATTTAAATATTACATACATTATTTTGCTTGTTATTTTACTCTCGATAATCTATTTTTCATTATACTCCACACTATTGCTTGTTGAACTAATTAAAACACTTTATATTTGTTTTAAAATGAATGGTTTATATAAAATATGAATTACACTTGTGTTAGGAATTCCAGTTCATAAACATTGATTTAATCATATAATACAAATGCAATGTTTATTATTAGACTTTAATATAAACAATTGTTCACACACAATTGTTAATCAAATTAATCATTATTGAAATTGTTAAAATAATCTCGGTAAAAACGAATTTAATATTTAGATTAAAAACTCGAAAAATACACACAAAAAAAGTGACGTTAACTGAATATATATTCTGTATAACATTGTGTTTATCGCAATCGCAATACAATAACAGTGTAATTCCGTAAACAACTCGAGGCTTGACTGCAATGCATCTATAAATTCATATAATCTATAATCCGTAACATTATTGAATAAGTCGCAATAATGGCCTGGCTAATGCTACCTGGGCTATGGTCGGGGTCAGCCATCGCTGGTCATGAGATGATGAGCCCGAGTATGACTTGAGTTCATAATTGTTAATTTAGCTCATAATTAAGTAATATTGTTAACAATTAAGTTAATAAACTTAAGAATCTGGTTAATTTTCAAATAGTTAGGTTCTAGACTTGTACAATTTTACACATCAGTAAAGATGTTTTGAGTGTGCAAACAAGTTTAATTAGGGTACAAAGGTTAGTAACGTATAAAACCAACTACCAAAAAATACACGGGTCCCAGAACATATTTATTTGTTTAATTTAAATAATTTAAATTTACAATTCATTGTAATATTAAGAACTGTAATTTAAATAAATAGTAATGAAATAAATTTCATTAAAAATAAATGTGTTTTAATTATTTGAGAGAGAGAGAATTGCGAAATAGGAATAATTTCAAAATTCCTCAAAATGTATAATACTTTATAATTATCTCGAATTTCTATTTATTTCAAATACAATACAAAATACAAAACATATTTTCATGTTTTATCGTAAATATTATTAAACATCGCAAACATTAAAACTATTATTCATGGTCATTCAAATACAAAACCACAATAATAGGGGAAGTGAGAGGGGGGAGGGTGAGTTTGTTTTCAAGTTTTCAGTGTCAAGGTCACCATTGCGTACAGTACTGGTATACATTATGTAGAATATTCTGTAAACACTGTATGCTATGCTATACTGTCTGACAGATATGTTGGCTTCACTGCCGAACGCATTCGCACTCATTCGCAACCCCTTTCCGTATCGATCGCTTCGCCGCCAAACACATGAATAAAACGGTATATAACTAGCGCTGCGTTTGTTAAACACGTATAAAACAAAACCAATACTCAAATCATTACTACTATTACAGTATATTCACTACTAATTAAATCCTATTATATAACTACTGGTTATCATCGGTGAGAGAGAGAGAGACAATGGCTTTGGACCTATTCTTCCCGCACCAGTCGGGCCCTAACTATTGGGATTCGCGGCAATGGCTGGAGACCCTATTCGGCCAACACTTCGGGCTCGACGTGGCGGCCGGGGGTCTCCGTAACGGCGCCGACGGCGTTTCGCAAGTGGTGAACGCCGGCGACCGGTTCGCCGTACGACTCGACTGTCGGCACTTCGCGCCGAAAGAGATTACCGTCAAAGTGGTCGACCATCAGCTCGTCATACACGGCAAGCACGAGGAGCGCACCGATAGTCACGGATGGATTCAACGAGAGTTTACGCGCCGGTATGTAGAGATGGGGGTGGGGTGGGGGTCAGGGAGTGGGAGTTTTATTTAGTTACCTAGCTACAGTACCCGACTGATTCACTGATTTGGATATATATACTGTAGGTATGTATTGCCCGATGGTTGCGAACCCGACAAAGTGTTGTCCAGTTTGGACGGGACGGGCATACTGTCCATAGAGGCACCCAAAAAGGCTTTGCCCCCACCGGACAACAAGGAGCGTGTCGTTCCCATTGCTATTAAAAAGTGAACATGCTCATATTGACCTCGAACTGGGAGCTGAGTGATATAATACGTGACCCGCAAAACTTATTGACAGTATTTATCATATTTATTAATTACTGTACATAATATAATTACTTTGAATTAATTTTATTTAAGCTTGAACATTTATATTTCAGATAATATGATACACTATATTATTAAGTTTGAAAATAAATTATTTATTTATTTTTTGTTATATACTGTATAATAAATTATATATTTACTCGAATACTATAATATTGATCATCTAATTTATGAACTATATGATTTAATTGAAATAATTTCTTATTATGCAGGTTTATATATAAACTTAATGTTTATGTATGTGTTATTTAATAACATTTACGTAATTAAAGTATTTTGATGTTTTCCTATGCATTGCTTCATAAGTTATGTAATACTGTAGTAAACAGGGAAATAAAATAACACAAAAATAGATATGACCTTGATTTATATTGATTTATCTAACTGTCTAGACTGTCTAGAATTTTATTTCCTAATAAATAACGTGCTACAATTTTAATATAGATTTCAACGAGTAGAAATTAGGATTTAAATAATTTATTTGAACATTTTTCAACAATGTTATATTTTATAACTTGAATTGTAATTAGTATTGATAAACTACCGGTAAAATAGCTAATTAATAAATCAATACTGTATGAAAAGTAATGTATATTTTGAAATAAAAATTTATTACTTTAACTTCCAAAAAACAATCATTTAGATAAATAAGTAAGCAACAAATATTTTTAATTAAAATCACCATACAATCTAAATAAAATACAGTATATTTACCATTATAATAATTATGGTCCCTGCACCTTAATGACATAACTAGTACCGTATACGCATATACGGTATAACATGCAATATCTGGTCATATATGGAATATATCGGGCATTAAATGCCTACGAGATAATCCTACTTGCTGCTATTAAAAATAGGTTTGTCCTGTTCAACAAGCGCCTCCTTATTCACCACAACAACCGGCAGATTTACGTGCATGTCGTGAGTGTACGGTATGTCGAGGGTCACGTGTATCATGTATTTAACGCTTACGATCCAACTCCTGATGGACAGGGAGGCGGTGGCGGGAATGGCGACGAACACAGTCTGCGTGTCACAGGTTTGTTGGCCGACTGTGTGGCCCAATACCGGTCCGGCGACGGCCCCCTGCAGTGACTTATGCCGTTCGCCACACATATACACCTGAGTCTCGTATAGCGTGACCCGAGGGGTGGCGTCAACCGTCGAATGATTCTCGACTGTACAGTGGAGCGCAATGGTGTCACCTTGGTCATTGTTGGCAATCAATCATTTAGTGTTTTAGGAATACAAATGACTAGAATTAGTGTTATACATACCCGGAGCAAATCCTTTTTTCACCAAGCTAGTATGGAGTCTTATCTAATGATTTATAATAATTATAATAATTATATAAAATTCAGCGTAAAATCAATGCAATTAACATACAATTCCACCGCCAATGCTGGGAAAGGCTAACACCTTTTCAACGCTGCCACCCACCGAGACCTTGGTCATATAACAATCAATTACTTGAAAATTGTCTAGTCTCTCCCGTTTAAATAATAATAATAATAAACAATAGACTTACTTTAAAATTAGTTTGCATAGGTGAGTCCACGGTAAATTTATAAGTAATCTTATGCGCCTGGTCAATGTTGGCGGTTATGTAATAGCGTATCGATCCGTATGGGCTTTCAAACGATGCGGGAATACCTCTAAAAACAATTGCCAAGCAATTATTATTATTAACAAGGTAATGTAACGTTGCTCAATATAATTGTTCATACTCGTCCGGCAAAGTAAACTCAAATGGTATGACATGTTCACCGGGGCCCGTGAACTTGTCGGAATCTATTTAGCAATATAAAACTTGGATTAACCTTGGTATAATATATTTATATTTGGTATTATAACTTATAAGTTGTATAAGTGAGTGAGAAATTTAATATAGTAATATAATACTCTAGCATAATCAAATAAAAGTAAATAAAATACTCTAGCTACATAATATTATGCGGGACATACATGCGGGCATTTTGTAGGCCAAATCAACGTAAGTCCGCTGATCTTTGTACTCCTGTCCCTCGCGGTGGAAGTAAGTGCCGGCGCTCTCAACCCATTTGGATTCGGCCACACATACCAGCCCTATGCGCGGGTAGGGCGCACCTTCCGGCCCTAGTATTGTCAATTGCAATAAGCCAGATACTTTATCGCCAGCCAGATAGTGTTGTTTCTGATTGTCCAAGCTAATGTCCAACTTAGATATGTGTGCTCGATCCATAGCTTACTCTTTTTGCAAATCACCTTGTATCTATAGCAATTGGACAGTATACAGATACAGTATATAATAATAATAATTATAATTATAATAATACCTTTTAATAATAAGTTGTATACCAGTAT